GAGAGCCTGAGAGAGCTGCTAGACGAGCTTACACTGGAATCCGAAGAAAAAGACCAACACTCTCCAAAATTATCTGAGGGGAGCACTTCGAACATGGCTCAACAACAACCTCCTCGCAATGTCCTCTGAGATCTGGCCCAGCCCATGATCGGGCCAATAACGTCTTGCATCCAGTTGCCAGAAGCCGCCTGCAACTACGAGCTGAAGGTGGTCCACTACAATCAGCTCCCATCATTCCACGGGCTCGCCAACGAGGACCCACTCCACTTTCTCTGGGAGTTTTACAACGTCCTCCAGACGTTTCCTTTACACGGGCTAAGTGAAGACGAACTCAGAATGCGGTGTTTCCCGGAGACTTTGAAAGACCGAGCCAAGGCGTGGCTCATGACCCTCACCCCGAACCCTCTCACAACCTGGGCAGAAGTATACTCCAAATTTGTTGCGAAATATTATTCCCATCAGAAGACTCAGGACATCCGGTCCTAGATTTTCTCTTTCGCTCAACTGCCACACGAGCCTCTTCACGAGGCCTGGGAACGTTTCAAGGACCTCCAGAGGCAGTGCCCCCACCACAACCTTGCTCCGGGGTTACTAGCAAATTGCTTCTACGACTCCCTCCACCAGAACCTGTAATACATGGTGGACAATGCAGCCGGAGGAGATATTGGAGCCAAAACTGCCGAAGAGATGATTGTGATTTACGAGACGATGAGTGCTAACTCGTCTCAGAAGAGCAGTAGAGGGAAGAGGACCACAGTGAACGAGGTCGGACCGGGGAATAACGCCATGGCCCAGCAGTTAGCCGAGCTCACGGAGCAGATGCGACTATTGAATGCTCGAAGCTCCTCACCGATCCAGGCGATGGCCGTGAGTGCTTGTGGAGCATGTGGAGTACAAGGACACAGTTCTGAGATGTGCCCTATGGCTATCGAGCAAAATTATGGGGGGCAAAGAGTTGAACTGAACGTTGTGCAAGGGTACCAGAACAGACCCGGGAATGACCCATAC